TATGTGTGTGTGTGTGTGTTTGTATTAATGCATGTACTCAAAACTGGCCATAAGTCAGAGTAATTAGAAAGGATACAAAGAGAAACTGGGTTTCGAAAAATGCCTTAATAGTTTGATGATGACATATCTTTCGTTTCGTTTGAGAAGCCGAGTGGAAGGGATTCGTGGATTGGCCTCATCTGATACCAAAATAGGGTTGATTTGGACTTTTGTTCGTGCGAAGAAGACCTCATCTCACCGTCCTACGACCCCAATGACTCCGTGCGAGGCCTTCCTCCTTCGGGTGGTGAACATCATCGGAGCCCAAAACCATATTTCGCGAAACAATCACAAAAAGCACAAAACCAAAAAAGGTGGGCAGTTGAGATCCTACTTACACAATGTACCACATTTTGCGATTTTGACGAGACAGTGTATGATTTGTTTGGCTGTTTCATGCTTGTCCTTTTCTGTATGTAAATTGACTAGCGTATGATCCTGCAACCACGGGGCTTGTTATAGTTTCATGGATGCATGTAAGTGTGTGTATGCAGCGATCACAAGTTGGTTGGCAAATTTATGTTCAAAACAGACTTCAGCTTAGTCAACTCTCCTCCTCTTACTCAGCGGCTTTTCTTGTTCCTTTTCCTCCTCTATCTCTCTCTCTCTCTCTCTGTCTCCCTCTTTCTCTCTATTTCTGTTTACCAGAAAGAGATAGTTGTTGGGCTTACTTCCATTTCGAGTGAAAGTGTTTGGCGAGGAGATTCGAAGATCGGTTCCATCAAAACCAAAAACGGACCTTCCTTTTTGCTGTCATAATTACTTTGAGCCATCGCTGTGGGTTCCGTGCATAAGCGAACACAAATAGGCACATGCACATACAGAGACAGACACACTCACATGCATCGAAGTTGACATATGACCGTAACTAACCAAATCACTTTATACTTGGTCAAGGAGGCCAGATGTAGGGTTTATGTACCACTTTTTAGGGATTTAGTGGTGCGTTTTCTTGACTTGTTCGATTGAATTTGGTTGTGACGGTGATAACTTGATCTGATGATGTTGGTCATGTGACGTACAAAAGCTTAGCACCTTTTCATCGGAATCGAAAGAGATTGCCTCGGCAACAGCGTCGGCATGAATGTTCCAGTAAAGCCAATCGACAGCTGGTCAAGAGGAATCATCCGTAGTCTTCTGATGGAAGCGACCTGCGAATCTTTTCACCCAAAACACTTTTACTCGAAACGGAAGTAAGATCAACAATTATGAAAAAACAGATTCTTCGAAACCCAACTTTTCTTCGCAGAGATAGTTCTTATTCAATTTCCATGACTCGTTGTTTTTATTCAGGATGTTCTTTGTTTAGATAATTTCACTTGAGTAACTGATCTTCCACCCAACTGTCGAGTCCTCATATCCGGCAAAACGTTGGAATTTCGACCACTCTAGTGAGACCTATCCATTTCGAAATGAAATGTCAACCATTATTCCCTACATGCCCTCAAGTGATAATGGGTAAATAGGGCTCTTATTCAGGATCTACTCGTAGTTGTGAGATGTACTCACAACGAATATAAGTAATGCAGTCGACTGAAGTTGTAAAACGTACATTTGCTTCATCAATAATACCGCAATAAAAAATATGGGGAGTGGAGGAGGCGTAGCTTTCGTTAAAATACTCATCTGTCCTGTGAGCCAAGGTTACTCGTGGTAGTGTGTGGCGGAGTGGTGAATGTTTCCTGGTTCGAGTCCCGCTGGGGGCGTTGATGAGATCAGTCCAGTCGGTATGGGAATACCAATTTGGGAAAGGAGTCAAAGTGAAATTCACTGTTTTATCATGTAAGTGTGAGCAAATTTAATTATCACTTCTTCATCACCTTCAACAAAATGTGGTGACTCCAGCTGCAATGAAAGCTGACTTTATTGCCGTCTCGCTGACACTTTTTTCTGTTGGTCCATAACTTTTCTCGCCCAACCGCCGAACGCGGAAGCAGATCTTCCGATCAGCCTTGACGAAACGCTGGACAAAGTGGCGGCCGAGCTCGACGAGCCCGCGGTCCTGTCGCTTCGTGTGCAGGCGCATCCGCCAATGGCCGAGGCCGTTTGGTACCGTCTGGTGGGCTCCGAGAGCTTGCTCTCGCGCAGAAACAGTCCGGCCAGCAACCGTGCCCTGTCGGGTCGTGGCGCCTCCGAGTCGGCATCAGCCAGCGCCAAACCGGACTCGGTTGCCAGACATTCACCAACACGCAACGGCGCCGGGCTCGAGTCCCCGCGCCACCGCAAGGACAGACTGCCCCGTGGGCTGGCCGCATCCGTCGCCTCGGAGGTCACCAGTCTGCCACGTCAGCGCATCGGGGATCGGCACGACGTGGCCGCGCGTGTCGTGGCTCGTCAGGACGGCTTGACCTTCCAGCTCCACTTCGCCACGGTCCAGGTCGCCGATTACGGCCTCTACGTCTGCCAGTTGCAGCATGACCTCGGCACTCGCGACTTCCACTTCACCCTTGCGCCCGGAGGCAGTGAGTGCTTGACCGACATGACATGGCTTTTGGTAGCTAGCCCTCTGTTTTATTCACACCCTTCACACCCTCTCGTCCAGGGCTCGAGCATCGCTGGGCCTATCGAGTCTGGCGTTGCCAACAACCCTTTAAAAGGTTTTGACGAGTTACGTCTACGCGGTAATCAGGCCGATGAAGAAACCAGTCAAAACTGGTACAAATCTGAAGTAAAAGTCCTTCTTCATGCCTAGTTACCAGGGCATTGTTCATGAGAATGTTGGCTCGGGGGCCGGGGTTTGAGTCCCGGTGATACTGTGCATAATTTATATGCATAGTATATGTACATACATATATAGGCATATATATATATATATATGTTTGTATGTGTGTACATTTAATGTCCAGTATGCATCATGGATATATATATGAAGTATT